TTGTCCGGACAAGACAAGGACAAGAAATTAATTGTGGTTTATTGCATATGCATGTTGGAATAGTACCTTATCCGCACAACTGCAGAAGCAGGGCCCTATAGATAGTGTGGAGGACAACCTAGGCCAACCTTTTGAAGGGTTTCTAGGATTATGTCCCATATAATGATGAATTATTGTTAACAAGAAATTCTTAGTCTACCCAAAGTTTAGTATAGTATGTATTTAGTCATGGTCAAGAGCTTGCTAACAAGAAATTCTTAGTCTACCCATATATCATGAATTTGATCATTAAAGTTTTAATAGGAGATTAGTTTGCTTAACGACTAGTCTATAGATTTTTTTGGTCTAGAGAATAGGACCTCATACCTAATCTTATAAAGGTGTAATATGTCTTTGTTGACTAAAGAATTTGGTTTTGGGGATTTAAAATCCCCACCAAACATCGACTTGGGATTTTCAGAATCACTAGAAGAAAGATATAAATGATTGGTTGGCGCTAATCGAACTTGACCTACAACTTCCATGCGTAACAAATGATTTGCACGGTTGACTAATATCGCAGGCACCGTCAACCTATGATCGCGAACTTTTCTTACCTTTGATTCACATCAAATATGGGCTTACCCTGGAAAATGTACAGTCTCAAACCTAAGCCCAAAATTGTGTTCAACCCCAAAAGAGGGCTTCCCCATGTTAAGGAAGGGAAAGGAGGCCCATAAAATATATAGATCCATACAAAATCAGGCCAAGCTACTCTTACAAGCAAAAGGGTCCATCCATTAGACTGATTTTGCCTTTTTGTGTTTTTTAATATGAGCGACGGTTTAAACCACGAGGAGAAGAGGGGGGTTTCACGCGCACACACAGAGGTGCTATGGGGTTCGAACCTTCACTGATCTTCAAGTCACTGTTGACTTATTTTCATCATTTTGAACATAACAAAAAGGAAATTAAAATTGGTTAAATTTGAAAGAACAAATAAAGAATTAAATTGTAGGCACCATAACAATTTCCTTCCCGTTGAAGTTTCCAAGAATCAAAATGGGATTATACCTGTTTTTTATTCTCAGTTCTTGCGGACAAAAAAAATTTGCAGTGCAAATCAGTGCATGACCAACACTCATCCCACGAGAAAAGACAAATCAACTGGGACCCAAGGGCACCATGCAGATTGGTCCCCTCCACCAGAAAGACAAAAGACACCTTCCTGGGAGGGAAGCACCTTACTCTTTTTCCACAATCACTTCATCATCGTGCCCTTCTGTTTCCAACTTTCCACCAATAACCCTATCTCAACAAAACAACAAAACCTGAAAAGGGTCCCTTCCCAATTTGCACCACATAAAAACTTATGTGTCAGATAAAGTTCAATTTTTAATCGACACTAAGGCACTTTGAAAATTGGCATTTGATTGATGTCGCTAAGATGGGAAATTTTGAAAGCTCCATCCTCAAGATTGGAACTGTCTCCTATGAAATTATGAGGCTCAGAGAACCACTTGTCTTGGATATGCAAGCTAAGAAATAAAATAAATAAATATAATTTCAGCAGAATATTGCAGTGTATGACTAGAAGTCTAGAAATTCTTCAATTAATGGTCAGTGCTGCTGCTCATGGCGATGGCTCAGTTTTGCTTCTCTGCTTCCTTGTGTTACAATTCTTGCCTCCCAAGAAATGCAACTCTTTCTCTCGCACTTTGTAAGCCACTGAAAAATGGGGTCTTTGGCTTCAACACAATCCAATGTTGTACGAGCCAGAGGGAGGCCATTGAACATTCTGATAATGGGTTGGCTAGTTTTCCTGAAAAGCACTTGCATAGGAAGTCAGCTACTAGTACTAAAGCACCCCCTCCTAGACCGCGCCGGATAATCTTGGTTCGACACGGGCAGAGTGAAGGAAATGTAGATGAGAGTGTTTATACAAGAGTTTCCGATCCAAAGATTGGACTGACAGAGAAAGGGTTGGAGGATGCTGAGCAATGTGGGAAGAGGATCAGGGAAATGATTGAGAAAGACAAGGTGCATAATTGGAAGGTCTACTTTTATGTGTCCCCTTATAGAAGGGGAGTTGAAACTCTAAAGGGTTTAGGAAGAGCATTTGAGCGCTCAAGAATTGCTGGCATGAGAGAAGAGCCTCGGCTAAGAGAGCAAGACTTCGGTAAGTGTCAATTTACTAAAAACAATTGGAACACTACTTTTAACAAGGCTATGTTAACAAGACTTTGTTGCAATTTTTTCCATGAAAAGGGAATTTTCAGGACAGGGAGAAGATGAGAGTAGAGAAAGCCATTCGAATGCTTTACGGTCGCTTCTTTTACCGGTTTCCTAATGGGGAATCTGCAGCGGATGTTTATGACAGGATTACAGGTATAGCTTCTACAATTTTGTCAATTTATTGATCAGTTTGAAATGTTAGGCCTAAGAACTCTTGAGACAATGCAGGATTCAGAGAAACATTGAGAGCAGATATCGATATAGGTCGATTTCAGCCACCAGGGGAGAGAAATCCAAACATTAACTTGGTAATAGTTTCACATGGACTAACACTGAGAGTGTTTCTCATGAGATGGTACAAATGGACAGTGGAGCAATTTGAGAGGCTGAATAACTTTGGCAATGGAGGCGTGGTTGTTATGGAAAGAGGTTATGGTGGAAGGTAATTAATTAAATCCTCTGCTGCTGTGTTCTTTGGAATTGAGACTCAGAAGTTAAGCTTTATTTATAGAAAACTCTGATATATGCAGGTACAGCTTGTTAGTGCACCACACAGAAGAAGAGCTAAGGGAATTTGGATTGACAGATGATATGTTAAGTGATCAGGAATGGTAAGGCAAAATTTCATTGTAATGAGGTCTCATTTCTGTTTAGTACTCTTGCCTTGGTGGGTTTGTTTTTTTTTTTTTTTTTTTTTTTTTTTTTTTTTTTTTTTGTGGGTGTGTGATTCAGGCAAAAATATGCAAAACCTGGGGAGCTGAACTATGATTGCCCAACACTAAATTCCTTCTTCTCGCACTTCGACAACGATTGTGGTGATGAAAATGAAAACAAAATCAACAGCAGCTAGTGAAGATGATATATAGTAAGAAACAGCAGTTGCTTAGGATTTAGCTTAGGAGAAACTCTGTATGTGATAATATTTGAAGTAGCATGTTGTAAATTGAACCTCAGAAGTCAGTTAAAAAAGAAATTCAAGTGTTTTCTTCTTCTTCTTCTTTTTTTTGTCTGATGTTTTCACGCATAATGCATAAGCCACGAATTTTTCATCTGCTCAATGTGCAAAATGTTGCTTCACTGCTTTATCTTTACAGAGAAGTTTAAATCAGAGAACAAACTCAAAATCCATGACCAATATGAAACATAATTCATAGAGGTTTTGCTGGTCAGAAAGTAAAGCTAAAAAAAAACGTTGGTAAAGCTTAAAAAAGGAATAGAAAATGGAGATGCGGGGTATCGATCCCCGTACCTCTCGCATGCTAAGCGAGCGCTCTACCATCTGAGCTACATCCCCTTTGTGAACGTTAAAATCGATTTCATATTTTTACCTGCGATTACGCTGTTTCCAACTCTCAAAGTTAACAGCTAAAAACGTTGGTAAAGCTTAAAAAAGGAAGAGACAATGGAGATGCGGGGTATCGATCCCCGTACCTCTCGCATGCTAAGCGAGCGCTCTACCATCTGAGCTACATCCCCTTCTTGCAACCTTAAGTCGTTTTTATTTTTTTAATTTAGCTGCTATGTAATAATAAACATTGAAAGTTGGAAACAGCGTAATCGCAGGTAAAAATAAGAAAACGATTTTAACGTTCACCAAGGGGATGTAGCTCAGATGGTAGAGCGCTCGCTTAGCATGCGAGAGGTACGGGGATCGATACCCCGCATCTCCATTTTCTTGTTCTTTTTTAAGCTTTACCAACGCTTTTAACTTTACTTGATAGAAATTATTATAACAGTTAAATAAAAATCTAAAAACGACTTAGTCTTCCAAGAAGGGGATGTAGCTCAGATGGTAGAGCGCTCGCTTAGCATGCGAGAGGTACGGGGATCGATACCCCGCATCTCCATTTTCTTGTTCTATTTTTCATTTACCAACGTTTTTTAACTTGGTAGAAATTAAAGTTTTTTTTTTTTTCCTTAATTTTTTATGAGAAGCACAGATTTTATTAATATAAAAAAGAAGAAGAAAAAACTATATCAATACAAACAGAGTGGGCTGTGCATTCAAAGCCGAAGTAACATTGCAGAATATCTAAACTACAAAATAAAGAGAAATTTAAAAGTCCTCCATTTTCCATTCAGCACGAATAAGCATGAAATGAGACATCCCAGAATTCAAAGGAAACACAACTCCAAATGGATGTCCAAAACGAACTCCATCCCCCAAGTCCTCTGCTTCTCCTAGAATTTTAAAAAAACCCTCTTGTTTCGTTCCATCCACATACCACCACACCAGAAACAAGCCATCAATCGATCCGTATTTCGCCACTTCTGAGCCACTCAATCAGTTCCAGAACTAGCATGGTGAGAATATGGTTATAGAAACCAGCGTATTACAAAGTAGAGCATATAACAGGTTTAGTCCACCGTTATATGCCAAAGACAAGTTAGCTAACAACATTATTTTCAGAGAGATAGAGAGACAATCACAATTTAGATGTCACCCAATATAAATGATGTCCCATATAAGATGACTAGGAAGACCAAAATACCAAAATAAGTAACAAATCGAACTAAACAAACAATTTCTGAATTTTATCCCAAAAAAATATGAACATTGCCCTGATATGCACCAATATGTCTTATCGTCTTCCCAACTAAACCTAGGTACATTCAGTCAAACCATAACATCATGCACCAATCTGAAAGCCAAATACTTCATAAGGGGGTTCCAGGCATGGTTTTCAAAGTAAGAAGATCAAAAGATAACCAATTAAGAAGAAAGGTGAGTATTGCGACCCAAACCCAAGGGCACCATTTTCCCTGCACTGTGGAACTATTAACTTCTATGAGTTCTCAATGGTTGCAGTCGTAATTCGTAATGACCGTGACCTTTCCTGCTCACCATTCCGCCTCCAAAAGGCTCGCCTCCACCAAACTTCGAATCCTCTTTGTATATTTGGGCAATCTTCACCAGAGTTCAAGAACCTATTAAACCAAGCCAGTAAAATTTCCTGTTGCCATGCTAAAGGCAGGGTAAGAATTGTGTTGCTTAGACCATCCTCAATTGAGTGCCTATCCAGGCCTTTTGACGCCCTCCTCATCCATGCAAAATCATCATAAAATGGCACCAACCAAGTTCGTAAAAGCAAGAACCTCACATCCTTGGAAACCAATAGCTGCCCCTTCCCAAGCCCAACAAAGAGACGAGCAGTAACTCTGCTAACTTCGTACCTATAAACTGCAGCCACTTTGGAATGTGCCTCAGATAATTCAATTTGAGATGCCCATGTTTTTAAGAAATCCTCAGCAATCTGTCTGTCAATCAAAATATCCAAAATCCAATGCAAATTATCGGCTTGCCTTGCAATCTGCCCCACATCTTGCAAGTCTGACTCTGCTGCCCGAGAAAAATGGTGGCAAAGCAATTCCAAACACCCATCACAAGCTGAGTACAAGGACTCTTTTCGGAGATCATTATGAGATGAATTCTCACGAAGCATCTTTGACACCAATCCTTTCATCTCACGCCTTGCCTTCTCATCTTTTCCTTCAAGAACCACATGCAGAAGCTTTAAAAGAACTTCTTCATTGTCATTACCCTCTTCAGTTCCATTAGCAACTTCGACAGAGACCCTCTTCAGTACTTCCCCAGCTCCAACGCCTTCAAGGCGGAGCTCAAACATCAGTGATGCCACCTTCTCCTCTTCATCCTCAGCCCATGGGGCAGCTTCTAAGTACTCCAAACAAGACAAAACACCCGCATCGAACCCAATTGCAGCCGAAACCTAAAGCACGCGGAACACCCACAATGTCATCATTCGCATAATCAGGATGTCCTTGTTGGCTTGCAATAAATAATCCAAAGACAAATTTAAGTTTCAAAAAGATACAAAGAAAGTTGAATTGAACAATTGGCTTTTGATCTATTTTCATTCCAAATACAAACCCACTCACCTAAAATTGTTCTAATTATGTACCAAGCTACACTTTCTAAGCAATCAAACATAATACCCAACTTAACCAGAAAAAAATAGAAAATTAAACACAAAATAAAGATTAGAACTTCACCTTCAAAATGCCAAGCACTTTTGGAACATCCTCCTTCATCAACCTCTTCCTCAGATCCTTACAATACATCAACCTCAAGGCCTCGATATAAACCTCCACGTCATCACAATCCGCAATCTCCACATTGTACGGCGACGAAGACGACGTCGTTCTCTGCTGCTTGACCCACCTATCCGATAGCTTCACCGCAAAGAACCGACTGTGCGCAACGAGAATCTGACGGTGCACATTCATCGACACGCTGAACCCGTCTTTGGCGCTCAACGTGAGTTTAATGTCACTGCTCGACGGGTCGTTGAACTGGTTCCCGGGGCTCCGAGACCCCAGCAAGAGATCGGAAACCCTCTGCATCATCAACGCCTGCTTATCCTGGACCAAACCCACATGGGTTTTGCGCCCGCTTCCGGAACCGACGCCATTCTGGTGGATCTGGGGCTTGGCTTGGGCCATTTCGGGCTCGTTGGCCATCATTTCGAAAAGGGTCGGACTGGACCGGGTCGTCTTATCGGGCTGCGGCGGCGGCGACATCGGGTTCAACAACCCGGCCGTGAGCATGCTATTAAATCTGGTGAAGCTGGAATTAAACGAGTCGTTTTGACCCGAGTGCCCATTAGTCAACGCGGGGCTGAAGTCCATGACTGGAGAGCGACTGCCCGGCGCGAATCGGATCCGGAACGATGATGGCGAAGAAGAAGGAGATGGGCAAGCCTGAACCGGGTCGGATTTGTGATTCGGGTTAATGGGTTGTTGCGGGCGTGGCTGGACAGAGACGGGTTTCGAGTCTTTTAAGGCAAAACAGCACCAGGAGCTCTCTGGGGAGACAATGGTGGGCGGGTCGAGTTTGCGGGTCGGGTTGGGAGCAGGTGCTGGTGAGGAAGATAGATGGGTCTGGCGGCACCTGCGGCGTTTGGGTTTAGTTGGGTTTGTTTGAGACTTGAGATGAGTAGTGGTACTAGTAGTTGTGGTGGCTGCAGCTGCCATGAAATATTGAAAATCGCAAAAAAATGTAATGTCCCTTATAATTGTTGTTGCTGTTGTCCTTTAGTTTAGAGATGGGTCTATCCTTTTTTTCTTTTTCTTTTTGGGTATATTTTTTCTAGTTTTCTTTTGGGTATTGACAAAGAAAGTGAATTAAAAATGGCGGTGTAAACGAGATGGATCAGAAGTAAAAAAACATGAAAAAAACAGCAATGAGAGACTGAGAAAGCATTTAAGCTGTGAGAGAGAGAGAGGGTCCTAAATATCTGGCTTTGTTTGTCAGTATTGACACAGAGAGAGTTTAGAGGAGAAAGAGATGAAAAGCTGAGGTTTTTGTGATTTCTTTTTCTTGATGGCTCCGCTGAGAGCAAAAGCTTTGGAAGTGTCAGAATAAAAAAGGGCAAGAGAGGAGAGGGAGGAGAAGAAGCATGGCACATAGAGCATAGGATGAATGGCCGGTTAGCCCCACAATGTCTTTGGCTTTGGCTTTGGTTTTGGTTTCTTTTCTTTTCTTTTCTTTGTGCAGCAGATGCTGATGCTAATGCAGAATCGGCAATCTTGTGACACTGTCTTTTGTGATTCATTGCTTGCTTCAATTGGTGATTGGTTTGATTGTGCTATGTGCCAGATGTTTGTTTTTGGTATTTGCTTGGTTTTGGCATCTGCTTGCCTGCTTCAGTTTTTGGGGCACTCCTTGTGGGTTTATGGCCCCTTTGGGCCATTGGGTGCTTCCAATTTGTACAAAAGGATTTGATTTGTGATGATTTTTTAGACATGGGTTTCATGATGTCATATTCAATAACTCTTTTTGAGTCTCCCAAAAGGATAAAATATGTTAATGGGATATTTCTGCCCGTCATGTTCACACAGTAATTTTAATTTTAATTTAATTAATAATGGTCATTAAAGTAGGAACTTATTGTTGGGATTGCACTGTTTAAGCTGTAATAATTTAGATTATTGTTTTTGTTGGTGTATTGAATTATTCCTCTCTCTCTCTCTCTCTCTCTCTCTCTCTCTCTCTCTCTCCACAAAATTCATGTTGCACTTTAAAGACTGAAAATGATTGAGAGTGACCAAGCATAGGCTAGTTATATATCCACTATAACTGCACAAGGAGCCTAAAGTTTAAGCATATCTATAGGTCGGCATAAGCCATTCCCCAAGCAATTTGAAAAAGTCCATCGTCCATGAAACAATATTCTTATTTTCCATAAAGAGTGTCAAGTATATATCTGATGAACCCTATTTCAGTGGTATTATTACACTTTCATATTCGAGAAACGAAAACTCAATTCGGCACTTAATTTACTGTGTCAAATTTCAACAATAGCAACATTGATAAAAATAACCTATTATTTATACGAACTTCACATCTTAACAACGAGAGTGACAAATGTAATGAGAAAGATAATTAGTGTGGAAGAAACTATCCATTAGCATGGTATGGAACCAAGATACCTTTAATTTGTTTCCAAGCTACTTGACAGGAAAGTTCCGCTGTATAATATATTTTTGACTTCAAAAGGGTTTGCAAACTTTGCATCAACAAGTGGAAGAAAGTGAAGGAGGGGATGCTCAAATCACAAGTTAGATCGATTTATTTTATTTAGTTGATAAATTATAACGGAAGACAAAAAGGTTGTTCGATTATTATAAAAGATATACTAAGCTTTTCCAACCACAACTCATTGTGTTCATCTCTGCTTTCACTTTACTTGATACCATCGCATTTTCTGGTTTCATCTGATATGCCTCTCTCTCTCTCTCTCTCTCTCTCTCAAATTGATTTCCTTCAAAATCTCTCTCATGGGTGGCTTAACCAAACTCTTTGTCATGCTCTTTTTGCTTTTAGCTGTATAGAAAACACCATTGGAAAATTCCCTACTTTCTCACCAAAAACAGAAGCAAGAAGGTAAGTATTAAACAAAGTCTTGGCCCACCCTAATAATTTTGGTTACCCACTATTCTTCTTTGACTATAAAGTGAGAGAGAAAATTACCAGGATGAAAATGGTGGCCTTCATTTTGGTAAATTGCATGATTTTGTGGAGTGGCAGAGGTTGAACAACTAGCATTAACTCTCATTGAAGAAATAAAGACAACAATTTCTACTTCCTTTATTTTTTGGTCAAGCATTTGGTTGGATGTGTCGAATGTTCGTTGGGGCTCAAAGGCAAAGGCCCCATAAGAAGAGACTTCACTTTTAGCTTTTGCATTCGTATTTTTTCTATGGTGTGTTAAGACTTGTCACTTGAGAGCGTAGACCTTTGCTTGTTGTCTTCTGCATATTCTAGCCTAAACCAACTATAAATCTTTCACTTTCAAACATCATACGAAATATGTTGGCTAATGTCCTCGGGTTCTAATTTATATGGATTCACTCATTTTTCAATAAGGTTTAGTAACAGTACTCCATTAAAAACTTTCTATAAGGTCAAGGTTACAGAGATGTCCTCAAGGAGAAAATTTTCATGTCATCAGCTGTACACAATTATGTGGTTATCTCGTATATCATATGATACGATGAAAAGAATAATCATGTAAGGTTGTGTTTGGTATGCGTCATTGGAATGGACTAGCTTAAACAATACTTGAAACCCATGTTTAGAAAGAGGAAACTAACTTAAATGATATTATACAGTCCAACAATGGACAAAAAAACCCTCACTCGCTCCTCTAATATAGCAAAGTTGAAAAGCGGTTTGCAAAATAGCACACATGCTAAATAAAACACGCGAGTCTGAACTAAACCAATTTCTAATCGCGAGAGAGAGAGAGAGAGAGAGAGAGAGAGAGCAAGCAACGACGATTGAACGAGAGAAGACGGTGACTGAATGCAAAAAGAAACCTTAGATGTGACACACGGCTCTCCTCGCTAGCGAGAGAGCGACCCGTTCTCGACCAGAGATTGCAATACCTTACTTCCTCGGATTATGTGCCATATTATTCTGACTTTTGGATATTCATATAAATATGTGGGCTGCACCATATGACATTATAGATGGGTACGTAGTGAGTGAGAAATTAGGCTAGAAAATTGGATGTGAGTGGGCTTCAAGGCTAATTGTGAGTGGTGGGATGGGAACAATGGATTGGCCAATTGGAAAATGTCTCAAATCATTAATGGAAAGAGAGGAGAGAATTTGAGTGTAATTTGGATTCTGTTTGTAAGGTTGTGTGTGTGATTTAGGGTTGTAGAGAATTGTTGTAGTTATTTGGTTAACATTGAATTTTCAATCTCCCTCTTCCATAGATGCTAGAAGTTCATCACTAAACCAAGCTTTTTTTTTAAATCTTTGCTAAATATTTGGATACTTCTTCTACTGTTTACTATGTGTGTGTCTTTTCACAGTATTAAAGAAAGCTGATCATTGGCCAAGGAAAAAACAGAAAGAGGAGGTTTATGGTGCGTGTAAGACAAGGTTTATAGCTTTAGTGGTAGAGCACTTATCTCTGCACAATTATAATAAAATTTCAGAATTCAATTATGTTCTTCTTCTAGTAATAAAAATTCATATCCCTCCTTCACAACTGGTTTATACCCACAATCAAATTGGGATGAATTACGTACACTTTACTACCGTTAATTGGTAAGTAAGTAAATTACAGTTTACTCCACTCATAATTATATATGACTCATCAAATGGGCTCATGTCATACAGGCTTGGTTAGCCATTGCCCATTGCATGTGTAATATGTGGCTGGGCCTGCAGACTTGTTAATCTTCGAACCCAAGAACAAAAAATAGTTACCTTTACCCACAATTTTACTTGATGGGGCAAAAAGAAATGAGGTCCTAAAAGAAGTCAAAGCCAAGGCAAGAAGGAAAACTTTTTAAGATTGGGCCCAAGACTCCTTTAGAGTTTTACTTTCTTTTTCTTGTATTTTGTTTTTTGGAATAATATGATGGTGGTGGTCCAGCATAATTGTTAGGGAATGTGCTCTTTGGGCTTGTATTACTAAATGAAAACAAATGATTATTTTTTATTTTATAATACAAGCGATACTCTAAATTATTAGGATTTTTCACATACACTATCAAGGTGTCTTTGGAGTTCGAACATAAGACCATTGGTTTGCAAGTCAATATATTTTTCAACTGTGCTAGCCCTGTCGGCAATGAAAACCAATAATTTTAAAGTTTGGTAGTTCCTTGTCCCTTTCTTTTGGATCAGGGTAGTAATGGAAATTGGACAACGATCTATCACTGAAATCTGACCTTAAATTTGTTGCAAGTTCGCATAATTATACTGAGACCCACATTACCAAATTAAAAAAATTAAAAAATTGAATTTTGTAATTATTTTGTGTTGATGTTGATTAACCTTAAAGAAAGTGTCACATGATGAGTGTCAAAAATGGAATGTGACCAAAATATTGTATTTGTAATTATTTGTCATGATGTTGATTAAGCCTAGCGCATGTTTGGAAGTTCTTTTTAGCAGCCTTAAAAAGCATTTTTAAATAATATAATAGCTTTCTCTATTATTTATTTATTTGCTGTGATGATAGGCTTAGGCTGATAGCCATACCTTTTAAGTCTTGAACAAAATATGGAGTGGAAAATGACTGAAAGTAATTTATAATTAATTAAGCGTGTAATGATTGTTAAACAATTCGTTATAAGAAAATACTTCGCTCATTTTCATGTAAGTATGAGCTCCTACATTCCTGGCAATAGCAATGTGATATGTATGCATAAGTTTTTCTTTTTGTATTTTTGATTAATTATTTTTACGTATGTGTCAAACTGTGATTTGCAAGAAGGAGAATTATCTTCTTACCGATAAGGAGGCAAGTAGTATCCTTCTCAAATATAGTAGCAATTGAATATATTTGCTTCTTTTGTCCCTACCCTATCTTTCTAGCTGTTGAAATACTATTTAGCACTAGAATATTACACAAGTTTTGGACCCCATTTCAAGAAAGCTTTATTCAATATATGGTGCCAGAAATCAGCTGCAGTACTTGTGAATGTTAATTAGCTTATGAGTTTGAAGG